CTTTTACGCAGTACTTTTACTTTAAGTATGTTTTATATAGAAATCTACTTCGATACTTCATTACAGTAAATGTCAAATATTTTAAGACTTTCACTTCAAGTAATATTTTTTGAAGGATACTTTTACCAAAGTAATTTTATGCTGTACTTTTACTAAAGTATTGTTTTGAGGTACTTTATACAAGACTGGAGTGTGCATGTTGTGTGGGTTTTCTCCAGTTTCCACCCYAAGTCCAAAAACACGCATGTTGGGCTGCTTTCAGGCTGTTATCTCAGTGAGTATAGCCTGGTTAAATAAAGGGTAAAACAAATAAATATAGTTAGCTTCAGGAAATCTACCATCTCAGTGTCTGAGTCAGTGTAACAAAGCTGAAAATCAGTGAAGGACAATGATATGGAAAAAGAAACATAACAATGGAGCAAAACAAGGAGATGCTGACAAAAAAGAAAAAAATCTCTGATACCCCCCCCCCCCAAGCAAATTGTTATAAAAAACCATTACACGCTCATATGAAAGCAGAACTGTTATAGTTTAGAGTGAATATATGGTCCAAGTAGTTCACAATTAGAACATAAAAGGATAATTTCTGGCACTAAGTGAGCTATTTCAGCTGTAAACATACTTTGCATTTATGCGTGGAATTTGCAAAATTACATCAACATATAAACTGCAGATGGAAACCCACAGAAGCATGTGAGCGTAAACTTTATATCGGCTTCCATAATAGTTGCATTTTGTTCCTAATGACTCTGGTGCTGCTGCCCACTCAGTCCACATCTCCGGTGACTTTTGCATCATTAGAAAGAAAGTCTGTGGAAATTGTGATTTTTCTGGGATTTGATTTTTTTTCTCTATTTTGAGCTGTCTCTAACTTATTAAATGGCTGRATAAAGAATAAAACCAGAATTTTAACTTTAGATATTAAACACAATTGTAGAATATAATTTGAAACCCAGTTGTGGAARAAAAATGACAACAAATTGTCTTAACAAGAATGAAATCAGACAAAAGAAGAATGTCCTAAAAACACATGCATTCAGTCGTATTTATATTATGCAGCATGGGTACCCCTTTATAAAAAAGCAAACACTTGTTTCTCATCTGGTCTCTCTGAAAGGCAACATAAATAATCCAGGTCATGTGGTATCATGTGGATACTTCAGATCYGTGAGGTTCTACTTCCTGATCCTTGGACCAACATTCTGAGAGCTACACAGACAAGTGACTTAAAAAAAGGAAAGTAAGAATTATTCATTTTGAATCCAAAGAACGTGTCATCAAACAGTATACTGTTCAAATGTACTGCTGTAGAAGCCGGTGGTCCAACAAATCCGTGCGCTCTGACGCACGGCCAGAGTTACCAACCTGCTGGTAGCTCGCCTCCTCCGGACTGAAGGTGTTGTCCACCGACTGGAAAAGAAAATTGAAGTGAGGAAAATTGTGCAGCCAATATGTCCACCACGGAGCGACGTAATCAAGCCTGGCAGAAGCCATTACTGCTGGAAGAGTCAATCCAACAAAACCCTGAAACAAGTTGGAGACTTGGAGACACTGCTTCTTCTTCTTTTTTTTTTTCTCTCTCCAGCAAAAGTTGACAAAAGAAGAAAAAAAACACAAATAATAGGTTTCCACAAAGCATCAAAGTGGAAATTCCTCTATGGATACGCCTTTTAAAAAGGGATAAATGAAAAAGAAATCACCGGTTCCTGCTCCGGGCCCCATCGCGGTTGGGCGCTCATTTGCGCAACGTCGTCAATGTAAACAGATCAGAGCGGCTGCTTGGATCTGAACCTGCCTCCTGCACAGCAGAAGGCGTGACAGCTTCAGTCAAGAGGGCAAAGCAACAATCCTGGGAAACCAACAATAAAACAGCAACTTAAAACCCTGCACCGACAGAAACAATAATTAAAAAAAAAACTCAAATAATTGATTAATTAAAAGTGTCCGGAAATAAGGGGGAAAAGTTCCAGGTTTTACTCCTTAAAGATGCAGTGTCTCGTTTCCCTCCTACACACTCTGAGTTTAATCAGGACCAATAAATCACACAAAGGAGGAATATTTTCTGCTTCAGCAGTTCGGCCCAAACTTTAGGCTGCTAAACAAGCATTCAGCACTTTTATTATTATAGTTATTACTATTCAGCATTTTTAATGACTTCTGCTGTTAATGTCTGACCTCTTGTGGACAATGAGGCGCACTGAGGTGAAGAGCAATCAGTATGCTAATAAGATTGCAGCTTTTGCCTTTATTTATTGTAGGATTTTTTTTGTTCCTTTTTTTAGTTTTGTTTTAGGAGCTGCAACTTGCTAATTACATTTGTATCAAAACAAATGAACTGGGCTTTATTCTGAGTCGGATGGAGGAAATGGTTTTATTTTAGAATATGCTTAAATAAATAATATTTTGTAGATAACAGGTCAGTAAATGGCAAAAAATAACCTTTTCAAACTAATGAAGCACATAAAATATAGTATATCTTATATGATCTCCTTTGACAACTTCAGGATCAGAGAACTAATTTAACATATGAAGCATTCATTAAACAAATGCTGAATGGTGATGATTAGAAATAAAAATGAAAGTAGCTAATTTGCATTTCCTGCAAAAATGTATTGTGAATGATTAATGATGAAAGATTTTTACTGAATAGATAAAAAGCTGAAACAAGCCTAAAATTGCTGAAATGAACCTCAAAGAAATAGAAAGATCACATTTGCAGAATTAAGCAGTAAAAAGCTGAAATTACCACAAAAATGTGAATTTAGCTTAAAATGCTCAAATTAGCTAATATTAGCTAAAAACACAGACAACAGATGAAATTAGAAAAAAGCAGCTAAGAGAAGCATGCAAAGCTGAAATTAGTAGAAGAGCAGAAAAGGCCAGAATTAAAGATGCAAAGGCAGAAAAAATGTCGACAATTAGCAAAGTAGAAGTCAAAGGAAGCTGAAATTAACAAAAAGAAGTTAAAAAAAGCAGAACCGGAACAAAAGGTTAAAAAGTGAAGTAAAGCTTTCGAAGGGTTTATGGGATGATGAAAGCAGCTCCCTTCATTTTCAATGAGGAAAAACGTGGCTGAAAAAGCTAAAGATCACAGAAAGTATTAATTGCTGAAGTACCAAAAGACAAAGCTGGAACGCCCTGAAAGAGCTGAACATTTTGATATATAACAGCAGGTAAAATAAGTT